ACCTAGAACTATAGCTCACAAAGTAGCTATTCTGTGCAACAACAAAAGTTTACCCTCAGGGTAAACAGTGGAGGTCTGTTATCCATGGATTAGGTACAAAAGTCAGCATACCTAAGGCAAATATATGGCAAAGTCAGCATAGATAAAGAGATCAGACAGGAAGTTAGTAAATGCTGATGAAGACAGGGTAAGCCCAGCTGGGATCCTTTAGGCCCAGGCCCCCTCCTGGATTACCCCAGCCCACCTGAAGCTTTGTCTTCTCTAAACTACCATAGCATGAAATATTTGCTCACATGACATATTTGCTTGGAGTATTTATGGACTTCATTTTTACACACACACACACACACACACACATCCAGTCTTTCCAGTTGAATCACAATTTCTTCAAGGGCAGATGGGATGTATCTTTTGATCACTTTTTATAACTCACAGTGTCTAATATGTTGCTGTGTTTTAAAAGTTCTCTATTCATGCCTTAGCTCCAGTATAAGTGATTCCCAGTTAGTATAAGTGATTCTTATAGGAAGAGAAACTGTGGGCATGAATTAGCCACACAGATATACTTTAAAAAACACAAACTAGCCAGGAGCCGGTGGCCCACACCTGTAATCCTAGCTACTCAGGAGGCTGAGATTTGAGGATCTTGTTTCAAAGCTCGCACCCTCTCCCATCCCCAGAGGCAGGAAAGTTTGTGAAATTATATCTCCAAATAACCACCAGAAAACCAGAAGTGGTGCTATGGTTTAAGTGGTAGAGTGCTAGCCTTGAGCTGAAGAACTCAGGGACAGTGCCCAGGCTCAGAGTTAAAGCTCCATGACCAAGAACAACAACAACAAAAACCAACAACAAAATAAACCCTACAAACTATATAAAAGGGAAGCATTTGCCCTTTCAATTAGGAAGATTAAAAATGATCAATAATTGACTTAATTTAGATGATTGCAAGAGGATTCCTAAAACAGGAATTTACATCATTCACAAAAGCAAGAAGAATGTTAAGAGTATCTTAAACAAAGCTGTAAAGTGACCACAATTTCTGGCTTTTATCAGAGCTCAGAAGAACAAATCTATTTCCAATGTCCTCCAGTGAAAGGCTGTGGTTTATGTTCCAAAGCATGTATGATTCCTTTATAAATTTGAGGATTAAAAAAAGAATATGTGTTAAAAAGAATTTGTTGATGTAACAAACCACAATACTCCATGAAGGTTCTCATTAAAAAATTGTTTTCTACGGTTCCTTATTTTGCACACATCTTCTTCATTAACTTTTTATTACAGCATCAAATGAGCTAAAGGTCATTTTTATTGCATAAAGAGTAATCCCTACTTTTTAATATTGGAATAGCTGTTTTAATAAAGAGTAAAAATAATCCCAAGGTATAGTTTACAAATACTCAATATTGCCTAATACACTTAATTTTGTTTATATTACAAATAAGATCCCCATGAAATTATATGAAAAACATCTTACAGTGAATTAAAATAGTCTTGGAGATGATGAGTACTTTTTTCATGCTGGTATTGGAACTCAGCCTGTACACTGTTCCTTGGCATTTCTACTCAAGGCTACTGTTCTATCACTTGAGCCACATCTCTGCTCTCAGCTTTAAAAATGTTTTCTTTTTTTATTATTATTTTTAAGTAGTTACACAAAGGAGTTATCAGTTAACAAAGCAGTTTATTAATATACTCCTAGCTTTTTGGTGATTAATTGGAGGTAAGAATCTTATGGGTTCACTTCGAACCATGACTCTCAGATCTGTTTCCTGAGTAGTTGGAAATACAGACATGCAATAAATACTTTTTACACTGTTTCTTTATAGAACTGTGAAGGATTGTCATGGAAACTGGTGGTGTTATTTTAAACTTTGGCTCTATTGGCTTTAAGAAATCTTTCATTCCTGCACCACCCATTGTCACCTTTGGTTCACCAAATATGTTGTCACAAGAACCATTGCAATCCTTATTCCCACAGGAAGGAGAGGAGAATGGATGGCGGAAGCACTTATCTAAGTATACTTCCCAGCTTCCGGGGGCCCAGGCACCCTGCTTCCACCTCTCCATCCTTATACCAACTGACTATCACCTCCTCTGTTTCCCAGAGCAATTGTTTTTGGGTAAGCTATGATGGTTTGTGTGTGTTGTTTCAGAATGAGTGAGTAACAAGTGTGCATCATTGTGTACACCTGGATTTCCAGCTCCTCATGAGGTAGGAGGATAATAGAGTCCAGGGGTTCAAAACCAGCCTTGGCAAAGAAAGATTCTGTCTAAAAACAACTAGAAAGTCAATAGTGGAATACTCATAAAAAGGGAGGTGCTGTGTTATTAGCAACTATTTGTTATCATTCTGACTCATAGAAGGCTTGGAAGGCCCTGAACCCTCACATCATCCTCCAGGCCTATGGCTGGCTACTTCCCAGGGCCTATTATTTAGGGATTGCCTATGTTGCCCTATGAAACAATGGTGCCTCCTTACCCTGTCTGCTCACCTAGTCACCCCTTTTTTCTCCTGGGAGATGGAAGGGTGTATCAAAGTAAGAGCAAGCGTCCGTAGCTATTTCTTCTCCTGCTCTTTAGTTTGGGTAGTGTTTCAGTACCTTAGATACACCCATCTTAATTAATTATGATGTATATATTTCGCAAGGTAGTTCTCTGCCTTATGCAGACTTTTAAAAAATCATTGTGAAATTAATACAATAATTAGGAAGCAAGTGGCTGGAGGTAAGCATACAGCCCATATACATTCAAGTGCATTAAGGAAACTTTTTCCCCCCAAAGTTCCAAGAAAGCTCACTTTGGCCACTACCACTGGCCCTTAGCTTCTTTACAAACTGTAAGTTACTATTTGTCTCATTTGTTAGATGGACATGTCCTGACAATTGTCCGGTGAATAATTACAATGCTTACCAAGAAGTAAATGAGCCTCCCCCAGAATATCTGTCTTGATAAGAGTGTTCCCTGTTTAAAATGGATGTCACAGTGCTTACTTCAGTCTTAACCCAACCCCAAAAGGACTTGGACACAAGTCATTGGAAGCAAGAACTTTCTTTTAATATAGTGTATTTTTGAAGTAGAGGCAGGAGGTAGGAGATGAATGTTGTCAAGTACAATGATATACACTCTCATGACAGTGACAGGATCTTGGCAGATTAGCACTCATCTGTATTGAAAAGCAGTTTTCTCTCAACAGTATCCACAGATCAGAGTTCCAAGGCCCGTACACCTAACAGTTTGATTCAGTGACTGTTTAGGAGTTCCTAAAGGAAGAATTGCCTAATTTTGGCTGCAGACCAATCTTTCCAGGACTTTAAAAACACAAACTCTGGGCTAGGAATCTGGCTCAGTGGTAGAGTGCTTGCCTAGCATGCATGAAGTCCCAGATTCAATTCCTACAGAAACAGAAAAAACCCTGAAGTGGTGCTGTGGCTCAAGTGGTAGAGCACTAGCCTTGGGCCAAAGAAGCTCAGAGATGGTGCCCAGGCCCTGATTTCAAGCCCCATGACAGGCAAAAAATAAAATAAAAATAAAAACACAAACTCCTGAGCCCTACTCTACATTGGCCAAAACAGAATATCCCAGTGTGAAGTTGAACTTCTTAAGTAGGATCATCTTGGGTGATTTTTAAGTTCACTTAAGTTGAAACCACTAGAGACCCTTGTCTTTTTATTCATGGATGGGTCCAAATGCCTAGGACAGCAATAGACACAACTCAGTAAACATCTGTGGAATGAATGAAGGCCCTAAGAGGGTATGGCACTCTAATATTCTAGACCAGGCTGTCATAAAACAAATACAATGTCAATCCCCAAGGTACCTTCCAGGCTTGGCTGGGGGGCAGGAGAAGTTCTCTGTCCCATAGCCTCCATCATCCCCACCTCAACAGGCCTCTGCTTGCCTGGACAGAACTGCCAAAACCATGACAAGGCAAGCTATAATTTAGCCTCCAGTTCTGCCCCTTTAGAAAACAGAGGGATTAATAAAATTAGTTAGGGTATAACTGGGATCCTAGATCCAACATGTGGGAAAGTCTCTGCTACCTACTTGTAAACTAAAGCTGGGAAAACTTTGATAAACTATCTAATTTATCCTTTGAATGACCAAAGAATCAACTTTCCTTCCTAATCACTCAAACCACAGGAAAGAGAAGACAACAGCAATATGGTCTTACGTTATATATTCCTTATGCTAAAATCATGTTTACAATTTCCTAAGAACCCCTGTCCTAGAACTTGAAAGGGTGAGTCAGGAAGGTTGTGAGTTCAAGTCCTCTATGTAGGCTGGGCTACACTGAAACCTTGTCTCAGAGAAGAGAGAGAGGGAAGGACATGGACGGACACACAGCATCCTTCAAGAGAGTGGGTGCATAAACTGTAGCACTCCCATACAATGGAATATTACTCAGTAATATAAAGGAAAACTATTGGAACAGACAGTATGCATGAAGTTCAAAGCCATTATACAAATAAATCAAAAGAAGCCAACTCCCAAAGATTACATATACGTATTATATGATTGTTTTTTATGACATTCTAGGAAATGCAGAACTCTGGGGAGGGAAAACAGATCCATGGTGGTCTGATCTAAGATAGGGGTAGGAGAGACAAGTTATTTACAACAGATAGCACAAGGGCATTTTTTTTTGGGGGGGGGGGGTGATGCATTGATACTGGATCCTAATAACATGATGCTTACATCCTGAATCTATGCACATGTTAAAACTCAGACTTGAATATCAAGAGGTAAATTTACTGCATGGAAAATTTTTATTTTTTCTTTTATTAAAAAAGTACCAACTGTATGTACAACATAAAGCTCATTATGCCTCTGGCAACGCCTAAGTTTTGTTCTGTTTTCTCTCTTCTCTTTATATCAATGTTGCCAATCCACGATTACAGTGGGAATGGCTCGTGCTACCCACACCCCCACCAGCCACACACATACTGTCTATACTAAGTACATTATACCAGGGGCCAAATATGGCATGCAATAAACTGGGAGACATTTTATAGAAAATTCCTTTATTATAGTGCAAATAACTTTCAGCAGTGACATAATGTAACAACACATTTAGCAACATTTTACACCATACAGTAAATAAGAAAGTGTTTCTTTGAAAATATGTCATCATAGGAACATTATTATTATTTCTACATGAATGCTGGAAAATGCCAAGGTTTGTTTTTCTCCAGGCAATAGGGCTTTCTCCCTCATTTTGGATATCTTCTTTTAAATACAAGTGGAAGGAATTGCCATTTAACAAATCATCAGAGTGATCTCTTAGGAGTTCTTAAACTGAGGTTGGCAAGATTTGAAATGAGAGTTCAAAATTTAAAAAAATAATTTTAAGACAATTCTGGAAAACCCCAGAAAGTAGAAGTCACTTTTAATAACTTTGAAGTAGATATACACATTTACCCCAATTTTGCTGCAGAAACAGATTGTCTAAAGCCTGCCTTTTATTCCCCCAGAGCCTGATTGTGATTCCTCAGTTTTTGGTTATTGCGAAACTAGGGCTCTGGTTAGAAATAACTCTTCACATATGCAAATACTTGTCCTGTGAAGGGTTCAATTGCACTTTCCAACCTAAAATTCATACCTTAGACCTCACAAGCTGGGGAAAGGCGTGAACACGTTCCAGTTTCCAGCTAATCATAAGGACAGTGGAATTATCCCCACTACTCATTTAGCTCCACCTAAATCAAACCATCACATCATTTAGATTAATCCCAATAGGCTTACCCAAGAGGTTCCCACGACCTGTAGGGCAATGGAGGGTTGACACTGTATTTTCACATTAAGCTTCCTAAGGGCTTGGCTGCTAATGAGTTTGCAGATAAGAGAGAACAGTCACTTCTGATCACATTTACTCCCTGATTGTTTACGTTCTACCAAGCAGTGCGTAGGATGGTTGGCCACTCAAGAACCCTCCCAAGGAGGTTTCCACCATGAGTTGAATCAAACCCCTACAAATATATTTCAGGATGTCTCTCTACAAACACTCTTTAAAAGTGGCTTCACAAGCCATGAGAAGTTAATCAACAGCTTGAAAATACCTGGAGCCATAGAACAGCCCCCATGCTGACTATGGCTGAATAAGTCAGCTGATACATAAAGCACAGCCAGTTTTGTTGGACAAAGTATCCTTGCATATAAACACCATGGAACTCTGTGGAACAGTTTCAAAGTTGAGATAAATCCAAATGTATCACCTATAAAAAATTCACAATTTTAGTTTGCTCTGTTATATTAGACTTTGGTACTGAAACACTGTCTACATTCTCGACACATAACCATGACCTGGTCATGGCTGTGCCTCTGCATGTTGTGTAAAAAATAAAAAAAAACAAAAACAAAACTCAAAAGCAAAGCAGGACGAGGACATGTCATAACAAGACGCAGTAAGCTGTACAAACAAAACCTAAATTATATATAAATACATCCCACCCCAGCACCTCTTTTTCCCCCTTTCTACCTGACCAAAGCAATGCCAAGAGTCCTTCTCTCCAGGGCCAGTGCAGCTTGTGAAATTCAATTCCCAGGACACCAACTTTCTGTGGCCTAGTACCAGAGACTACCATCAGATTAGTTCCCCAAGTGCAGGGAAACTTGAATGAGTTCATTGGAAGCATTCATACTACTGGCTGGGCTCTAACATTCGAGATCCTAGAAATTAACCTTTCTGATAAACCAGTGGGATCCTTTTCTAATCTGGATCCCATCTTATCCTATCTTCCAAGCGAATATGGTCAGAAGTATCTTCTGTTCTGAAACTCCATAGGCATTGCTTAGGGATTTTGGTGAGGGCTGCATAAGAAAAGTTATACAATGAGCTAACAGCTTAAGTTGGTATAAATTATTTCTAAGTAAGTTATTCGGGGTCATTTGCTTCTGCTTTACACTGCATTCCAGGATCTTTCATATTATACTTTTAAAACTTTATATAATATTCATTTTAAAAATTGTCTACGCAATCACCTTGTACATGTTTTCAACTAATTTAATAACAATGAGCTATTATGCAAATCTAGGGAACAGTTAATCTTAATACTGTGCTAATTCATAGTAAAGAGAAAAAGCAATGTAAATAGAATTTCATATAATTGACAATAACTTGAAAAGCAGTTTTGCCAAATCGTTGCAAATTTTTCCCAAAAGCACTTAGAGCAATTTATGCTGAGAGGTCCAGGGGTATTGAGAATAATCATCCAACAGATATAAATGCACCTGTTCTATGATTATAGTATGTAATTCCCCCTCCCTTGGACCTAAGGTATTTGTACATTCCAAAGTTCATAACTTTGCTGTTCTTGAGACATTGCTCATTCTCTAGTACATATATTGAATATAAATAAATAACTACAAGAAAGCTTCAAGAAATCTAAGTTAACATTATGCTGTGCAAAACAAAACAAAGCCAAAAACCCTCCAGAACCAAAACAAAATAAAGCCCAAACGTTGAACAAACTACATTCTATGTAAATACCCTGACTAAAATGGTGCTTGTGCTACACAATTCCATGTTAGTGCAGAAATGTGTTGGTTTTCATGTACCGTGGTAGTTTTTAATGTCTTTAGCACTTTTGTTTCTAAATAACCTTGCTTGGAAATGACGAATAATTTGCTACCAAATCACAAATCATCACAAATCCATTTTAGTGTAGTCTGAATAAAATCCAGCATTAAGGTATTACTTTGTTTTTGGAGTAATGGCTCGGTGTCTTTGTCCAACAGCTTTCATCTTATGGGCAAACCCCAGTTGTTTTAGACTTGAACTGCACAGAAAGAAGAGACAATGAAGCTTGCCTTTTGTTTGTATAAGTCTCCAGATCTTTCTAGGACACATCTTCCAAACCAACAGTTATGTAGTTTTGACACCTGATCCTACTTGAACTCAAAGTGCTTCAAATAGCGTCAGCCAAGTTTGGTGATCTGGAGGTCCCCATTTATCTTTATGGTGTCAATGGCAGATAATGTTTGAATGCGATGATAAAAATCAAAGAGTTGGTGTCCATCCACAAACACTCTGAAACGTGGGTGCTCACAAAGAATTTCCACCTGGAAAAAACAAAATTATAATCTCAATTTACAATTTAAATGAAATCTGCTGGAGGAAAAAAATGAAAAGAAGTTCATTTTAGCAGAAGGCAGTATTGTCAATGATTCTCAAATATGAGAATGCTCTGGAAGCACAGAGAGTGGTTAGAATACTGATGGCTGGGTTTCACTCTCCAGTGTTCCAATACAGTAGTTCCAGGGTGAAGTCTAAAATGGCATGCTTCCCCCAAATTCAATGCTAATCTTGCCGGAAAAAAGAACACACTTTGTGAACCATTGCTCTACATTACCCAATATCCTTTGAAGATTTAAAAGGGATTAGGCTTTAACATCTTTCCCTGCAATCTAGGAAGGGATGGGAAATAGCATAGATGTGTCTGTGTGGCACTTCAGCCTCTTCTGCCTACTTCTGAATGATTCCATCCCACCTCCAAGGAAGCCCCTCAAGAGGCAGAACTGGTACCCATTAAGCAGCACGTAATGATAGTCTAAACACTGAAACATGGTCAACACTAAGGCAGAGAGAAGGTTGTATAGTAATTACCACTGGACCAAGAATGTGTAATTAACAAGGCTTTGTTAAGCCAAACACAAATACTGATTTCACACAGTAAAACCTTTTTTCTTCTCCTTTTCCTTAAGTAATTCACCACAGAATTTAATTATTACTTCTGTGCTATAATGTGTTTATTAAAATCATTGGTATTTGTCATGCAAGAAGAGACTCCATATGTGATATTAGTCACATCTAATTCATATTATTGCTAAAATTATATCACCAGTCAGGGACTAGTTCAGTCTCATTTTGTTGCTGGGAAGCATTATGTCCTTCTGGAAGCCAGAAGCTCTGGTTGCTCTCGTGAGCTAAGTGTTAAGACAATCACTAAGAGGATGCTCTGGCCAAGAGGGGCCTAAAGAAACATTACTATGCACAGCATAGTAATGCACTGGTATGGAACCAGGTAAGATCATGGGTCAGGGGTATCTTCTCCAGTCTGTGGTTAGAAGGGCAACAATCTCAACTCTATCACTGATGCAAAAGTCATGGATTCTTCTTTCCAGACTCCACAGACTATAAGGGAAGATAAACAATCATAGGCCTTTGAAAATCTCTAGATGCAGAACAACCAGGTAATGTAAGTAGAGCCTGCTTGGTAAGGCTTACTTGTAACATGGAGCTTTTAATTGAGTTGCCATTACTGTGATGTATAGTAACAGGATGTGATGAACATAACTTTATCACCAGGTCTGACATTTCAGTAAGTCCTTTAAAATGCATTATTCACTTGCATCTTTTATTTGGCACTGTCCAGCATAGAGAGGAAGGCTCTGCTAATGCTGCTTGATTAGATGGCAAATTTGGGTTGTGTTTCCTGCCAGCTAGATAGTGAGTAGCAAGTCACCATTTACCCAGGCCCATGGGAAGGAATCTGTCAGCTACTCAGCCTGTGACCATGAAATAGATGCTAGCTTAATTAACCCACAGGGGGAACAAGGGTACACATGTGGCCTCATTAGCAAAGGGAATGAGAGAAAATGAAATGAAAAATCACAAAATGGCTTAAAAGGCCATAATTAATAAGGTTTTGAGCCACTTAAAGGCAGAAGAAAAAAATGAAGGGAATTCTGGATACTTCCTAATATTTATTAGTCAATGAAATATTTGGGAGCAGGTATTTACTATAGGCCTAATACTATTTTGGGGATTACACAGAATAGCATTTGTCATAGTAGCTAAGTATAGTTAAGTACTAATTCTTAGCAATTTGAAGATGTAAAGGCACATGTATTTACTAAATATATGGGCTGAAAATAGCCAAGAGCTAACATGATGAGTATTAATTTCTACCAGCAAACAAAGCTCTTTTGATTCTTTTTTTTTTTTTTCATTATTGGGTGAAAATTTTCCTAGACATGCAGAAATTCTGGCTTCTGAAAGCACTCTTGGCACATACTAGATAAGAAGAACATCACGGCCCTGCCAAAAGTTGGGGCCCAGGCACTTGAGGTACTTACCCTGAATGGCTGGTCTGGGATGAATGGAAAGTAAGGGATTGCTGACTGCTCTTCACCCCTTTCCCCAGAAATACAAGAGTTCCGGAGTAGCTGCCGGTCTGTGAACACAGCTTTGAGTTCAATGGCCACATCGGCAGGAGGGTCTTCCGAGTCTCCACAGGTCAAGCTGATGGCAAAGCTGAAAAGGAAATAGCTGCATTTATTCACAGTTGGAAATAACATTTCAACATGACTCAAGTACTCCTGTGGGGTTTTTTTTGCTTTTACTAGGACCCTACTCTTCACAAGACTACAGAGAAGTAACATTATACTCAAACCAACTGATTTTGTGAGACCAGCTGATTTTGTGAGGCTGATTTAGTGAAATACCCAAGGTCACACATCATTATCTTAATCCACCTCAGAATTCCCAACACAGACCCAGAAATTGACCAGAAGAAATAATGCCTTGTAAAGCTGGCTTCTTATTTATACTGATAGGTCTTGCTCCTAACACTATGGTACAAAACTATGGAAAAAGAAAAAAAAAACAAAAATCCCTTTGGCCTTCCTAAGGGTCAAAGAGAAAATGTGGGTCTATATTTATCATCTCTGATATAAATAGCTGTCTGGAGAAATGATGGCTGGGATTCATACACATTCTTTTCATGGGAACATGGTACTTTCTTGGCACTGTCAATGAGCTAGCTACGCTGTCCACAAAGGAAGGAAGAGAAGATTGAGCCACAACACAAATGGGCAGGGCCTCGCGGCTGCACGGTATCTGAACAGTGACAGGAGCCGTGCCTTACCTCTCTGGGTTGAGGTCTACGATGCCCATCACCAACACTTTCTTGCCTGGTCTCATGCCACCTTTAATGTGCCCACAAAATGGAACGATCTGCAAAGGAAGAGAAGAAAGCGAGTTCACCGACTGTTAAGAGCAAAGCCAGTTCCATTAGAAAATGCATGGGGGAAAAAAAAGAGCTTAGGAAAGAAAAGATAGAGGCAGAGAGACCCAGAACACAGACAAAACCATTTACCAGTCGTGGGAAGTACACGTCCGCTTGAACTGGAGAGCCCAAAGAGTTGTTTAAGTGCCCATCATCTAGTTTCTAAAAATAGAAGCACACAGATTGGCTTTCCTCAGACCCTCTTTTCTTCAGGGGTGGAGGGAGAACAGGGAGGGAGGCAACCCATCCTAGTCTAGCACAATCCAGCAGCCCTCCACAGACACAGAGGCAGTGTCTGCAGATGCCGGCTTTCCCCTAGTCCATTAAATAACCGCACAACCCTCCTCCTCCCTCCCCAGAACAAAACCCCTGCTTTCCTCGGGTAGCTAAGCTGCTCAAGATCCTCACACCCGTCAGACTGAGATCGACTTCAAGGTCGCTGCCCACCCGCGAGCCAGGGCCCCGTGCAGGCTGGCAGGCCCCTGGCCAAGCCCCGCAGCTTGGGAAGCGCTGCGGGCCAGGCCCGTGCTCGGGGACGCGGCTCAAGTGGAGCAGCGGAGCTCAACTTCTCCCGGGAGCCCCCGGCGGGGACCCATTTCTTCGGGGGAATCCCCGGGACGTCGCGGGCGGTGGCGGGGCGCCACGCGCCCCCACGCGCGCGCACACACACGTGCAACACGCACACACCTGGCCGACCCCTCGCACGGGCCGTGAAACGTCGAGGTGCCGCGGTCGCCCGCCAACACCCTTCCCCCGCCCAGCGTCCCCCGGGCGGGCCGTGTGCACCGCGGACTCCCGCTAACAGGTACCCGGCGTGCCCCGGCGCGGGGGGCTCCGGGCCGGGCCTGCGGCTCCTCCCCGCCCTCGCCCCAGCCGGAGCCGGCGGCGGAAAGGGGGCGCCGGGCGCGACCCCCCCCCCCCCCCCCCCGCCACACTCACCACCACGGCATCACTGTCGGCCACGGATCCCGCCATGTTCCTGCGCGGTGCACCGGGACGCACGGCTGGCGGCCCGGCGGCGGGGGACGCTGGACGCGGCGCGCGCGCGGGGAACCCGGGGCGGTCCTGCGCGGAGCGGGAGCGCGGGTCCGAGGCGCGCGTGCACGCCGGCGCGGGTCCGCGCGCGCGCGCGCACGCCCGAGGCCGGCGCGGACCGAGCAGGCCGGGCCCGGGAGAGGAGGAGGGGGAGGGGAGGGGAGGTCCAAGGTGGCCGCAGCCGCGGGGACCCGGAGCGTTTGGCAGCCGCGGCTGCTGCCCGTGTCCTAGAAAGAAAGGTGGCGAGGGCCGCGCCACTCCGGCCCAGGGCGGCATTTAAAGACTGCCGTGCCCGGCCGGGGAACCGGGAGCCGGGATCTGGGCGGGGACCCGGCCGGGCGGCCGCGGCTTGCTCAGCATGCCCTGCCCGCGGGCCATTGGACGGGGGAGGGGGAGGGGAGGGGTTGGGCGAGCGGGAGGAGGGCGGGGTCCGGTCTGCCGTCAGGTGTGGGTGGGGCTGGGGGTTGGGGGAGGAGGGGGGTCTGGCCGGCCAGGTGACAGGTGCCGGTGACCGGTCCGCCCAGCGCCCCGCTGCCTTGGGGCTGCGATCCTCGCGGCCCCGGGTCGCTCCCAGCTGGGCCTCGGGGCAGGTGGGCCGGTGGGAGGTCGGGGCAGCCTGGAGGCCGGAGGTGCAGTTCCTCAGCGGGAGGCTCGGCCCGATTTCTCTCTGGGAATTCCAAGCGAGCGCAGGGAAAGACTGTTGCGTACCGAGGATCAAAGGTCTCAGGGCGTCCCAAAGTCCACGTCTCACTTGACCCAAAGAGGCCGAGGCAGGCAGGACTCAGGTAGGGACTTTCTATCCCAGGAGGCTAAATACCTAAACACAAACAGAGGTAAAAGGGGGCCTGGGGAGGGAGGGCACTGGAGGCCCTATTGAGCAGAGACCCCGCTTCTTAGCCAAGCGAATAAATAGGCCTTTGTTTTTATTCAAGTCTCAGTCTGGGATAGTAAATTTCTCACTGAAAATCTGATATCCTTGGTAGAGTCCTTCCCAGGGAATGCACCCCTTTTATTCTCGAGTACGAATTCCTTTATGGCATTTCCACATTAGGATGGTTATGTAACTTCTTAGACATATCCTTTCATAGGTGACAGCCTTGGCTTACACATTCCATTGTGTGAACCATCGGGGCGTTCTGCACCCATGCACCAGGAGCATGCAATGTGTGACCTGCAATCTCAGGGGGCCCCTCAGAGGCTCCCTTCCGGCCATGGTTACCAAGGAACATCTGCACAGTCTTTTAACCTTATGAACCAGAGCTAATCACGGTCATCTCTGCTGTGTGGGAGCATTACTTGCACATGCCTGTAATCCGGCCATATCCTTTGTGGAAGTGGTTCTCCCAATTAGAGCCTGCCACACAGTTGTGGCTTGCAGTTTTGTTCTGATTTTTTTTTTGTATTTTTTTAAAATTACACTTAATAGTTATTTTAGGGTATTAACTGCTGACACTTTGAGAACATACTCTGATGTATTTCATTTCTTAGAACCTAGCATAGGAAAAAAACCCAGTAAAGTAGTTCTTTGTTACTAGCTAAGCTAAAAATGATACAGTAGTGGTGGTTAAAGAGCTGGTGCCTGGAGTTCAAATCCTGCCTCTACTATTGTCTTAGCTAAGTGATCTTGGAAAAGTTATTTAACTTCCCTTTGTTTCTTCATCAGAAATGATGATGATGATGATGATGATGATGATGATGATGATGATGATGATGATGCTTATCTTGGACTACTGTGAAATTAAGTACCTTGGTTATTTTGCTTTGCTTAGAAAGTTCCTAGTCCAGAGTTGACACTTACGCCACAGAAGTCTTGAGTGCTTGCTATCAATGGACACTAGGGATCTAGCAGGGATATGTTTGTTGAGATTTCATTTTAGTAAGAAAAGATAGGTAATATGTTCGAGAAAATAAGCAGGTAAGAAGAAGAGAGAGGAAGTAAGGCAGTGCTGTTTAGGTGGAGTGGTCAGGAAAGCCACCTCTAGTAAAGGGACATTTGAGAAAACCCCTAAAAGAAAGGGAAGAAAGGAAGGGGTCATTTGGATCTTTGGAGGAAGTAGATGCTGGCAGAGTAACTGCAAGGGTCAAGTCCAATGGTAAGGGTGCAATGACTAGAGGTGAGTTGCTTGATACCCATAGGCCTCCGAGCTGGAGGTGAGTAAGACTAGCTTTTCCCCCAGAGCCATGAGAAGACATAGGAAGTTGTTGAGCCAAAGAGTGACAGTTGTCCCTTGTTGTAGGTGCACCCTGTGGAGTGGCCTTTGGGGAGATGAAAGCAACAACAACAAAACAACAAGGAGGTGGCTCAGTGGTAGAGCGCATGCAAGCCTGAGGCCCTGGGTTCGATTCCTCAGCACCACATAAGCGAAAAGAAAAAAGCCGGAAGTGGTGCTGTGGCTCAAGTGGTAGAGGGCTAGCCTTGAGCTGAAGAGCTGAGGGACAGCACCCAGGCTCAGAGTTCAGGCCCCATGACTGGACCCCCCCCCAACAAAAAACAAAACAAAACAAAACAACAAGGAGGAGGCGGCTTCTGCAGCAGTCCAAGCAAGAGGCAGTGGCCATTTAGATATGGCGGAAGACGTATTAGTAAATTCTTATCAGCATTACAAGCATTTCTTTCCTTATGTTTTTTATTAGCATTAGTTAGCTGTACAAGGTTTCATTTTTACCTGTCCCTATACAATACATCTTGATCAGACTCACCCTTTCCCATTATGAAGCTTTGACAGTTCAGGTCATCTCCCAGTCCCAAATTTCTTTAAACTACAAAATTAAGAACATGGGCTCTTTTATTTCCCCTGTGCTCTTAGAAAGTTCTTCTGGTTCCTGAAAAGCTAGGTAGGTTCCATCCAAATTTCAATGTGTTTGAAAGTGTAAGTTGCTGAATGAAAATGATCTTGGGTTGAATCCAGTGGTAAATGGTTTTGTAAGATTAAGAATAACCTTTGAAAGCCAGGCACCAGTGGCTCACACCTGTAATCCTAGCTACTCAGGAGGCTGAGATCTGAGGATCACGGTTCAAAGCCAGCCAGAGCAGAAAAGTCCGTGAGACTCATCTCTAAAAAACCAATAGAAAACTGGATGTGTTGCTGTGGCTCAAGCGGTAGAACACTCGCCTTGAGCTGAAGGGTGCAGGGACAGTGCCCAGGCCCAAAGTTCAAGTCCCATGCCCAAAGAATAACCTTTGATTTGTTTTGTGAGTGGAGTCTGGGGTATTTGGATTGATGAGGATGAATTTCTTACATTTTAGGAATATTAAAAATAGTACTAAATAAGCTACTAAACGTACCCAGAATACTTTATCAGGGAAGACTTCCATTTATTTAAAAAAAAAAAAAAGTTTGATTCCTCCTCAATCAGTCTAAATGGTTAATTTTTCATCTGGTGAACAGAGAGAGAACCTAAAGAATTTTTTGTTGTAACAAAAAGCCACATAGGATTGAACTCATCTTACACAGGAAAGTGATTAGTAAATTAGTGAACTGTAGAGCTTTAGATTTTGTAGTCTGTAGAATGAAGGATAGGCAAATTTTGCATATGCTTTGATTACAGGCATTTGTTTAAAAAAAAACATTAACCAAGACTGTGACCCATTTATAAAATGCAACTGAAATTCAAGATGAACTGCATTTCTACTAGTGGAAACTACTAAAAAGGTTAAGGAAGGGAGGAGGGCAGTCAAATGTGATTAGCATTAAAAAAAATGTAAGCAGGGCTTTGAAGATGGTATTCCAGATTTTAAAAAAAACCCATAGATTATTATCTTTCTTTCTTTCTTATTTGTATGTCTTATCCAATGTATGCATGCATGCAGAAATCCTAACACTGCAGGAGAATTATACATTAATTTGTACAATCATACTATGGACAGGATGAGATGTTTCCAAATGGTTCCACTAAGAATATCTGCTAGAAAGGGTGACACTGTTAGCACCCCTGTGGGCACAGCTAGCTGCCAACTCAGAACGTCCTTGTAATAGTGAGAGATTTGTATGCCTTCTACATTCTGTTCTATAATACAGCCATGCTAATTTTGATATCAAACAGACATGCACCTCATACCTGGACATCTGTGAAACAGGAGCATCCCAAATGTTTACTGCATATAATTTCCTGGTTCCAACTTCTTCCATGACCCCAGCCTGGAAAGGTGATCACAGTTGGATTTTGAGAATAAGAACCTACACAAAGTTATAGCTCCACTTAGGCTTTTAGTTCATTCTTTTTTTCAGGCCAATCTCTGCTCTTAAGATCAATATTGATGTAGGCAACAAAATGTACAAGTCAGCATTCTTTTGTTTACCTAGTTAGGTAGGAGGCAAACATTTATCAAGTTATTTTTCTATATTTCAAAACATGATTACAATTCTTAATTATATTAGGGACTGTGCTCATGGTTAGCAAATAATTATTTCAGGCACACACTCCCAGATTTGTAGTGTACCAAAGTAATTAGGGAATAGCCATAAAATTTGGCAGTCAGTGCCAGTTCCTAACATTTCATTATTTTCTATTTATTTATGAGGGAAGTAGAACCAGCTTCCTGTATGTGTATTAATTACTTAGGACAGGAAAAGCTGATTTCAGAAAACCTCCAGTTTAAGGAGATAATTATGAGCCCAGGTCCAGGAAAAGCTAACTCTAGGCTTTAAAAAGTGTAGACAGCTCCAAGCCTAAGGCAGGTGTGGGAGAAATGGGGACTGTCACCGTGGACTCTCTCTCTTTTTTTTTTCCTTGGTTGGTTGTGGGGCTTGAACTCTGGGCGCTGTCCCTCAGCTCTTCAGCTCAAGGCTAGCGCTCTACCACTTGAGCCACAGCGCCACTTCCGTTTTTTCTAGTGGTTTATTGGAGATAAGAGTCTCACGGACTTTTTCTGCCAGGGTTGGCTTTGAATCATGATCCTCAAATCTCAGCCTCCTGAGTGCCTAGGATTATAGGCGTGAGCCTCCCGCACCCGGCTGTGGACTCTCTTTATGATGTCTGAAAAGTCTTCCTTGGAGCATTTCTCCT